ATATTTCGGATTTGGGGACTCTTGTTGGTTTCAGGGTTTCAGGGGTCTGAGGTTTCATATTTTATCAGGTTTACGAGAAGCGGTTTCTGTAAGTTTGCTATAAGGGTCTTATAGGCTTATAGCCTTTACAAGCTCAGGGTTTGACAATTGACAGTTTAAGTTTTAAGGCCTTGCGGTGTCCGGATATCCTTTAGGTTCTGGAGCTGCGAGAGTGTGTGTTCCATGTAGCGCCCCAAGCTGGAAGGCTTACACTGTAGGGTTCTAAGGTTCGCCGACATAAACATGTGGGTGGTTGGTTGTCAAAATTAGGGTCCCTCTTTGGGGTACCCTAAATATTAGGTGCCGCAATACAATAAGGACCCCAAACAAGGGACCCTGATATTGACAACCACCGTGGAGTTCGGGGCTTCGGGCTTTGCAGCTTTAGGGCTCAGCTTACTTGGAGGATCATGGGACTTAGGGTTTAGGGTTTAGGGTTTAGGGCTTAGTAAACAAGGTAACTGTACTTATAATTATACTTGTAGTCCCAATTAAGGCACTTATAACCTTGCTTACAAAGTCCCATGATCCTCCAAGTATGAAGAGGGAAAGCTGAAGCAAAAGGCCGATAATGCTTAACGTAGGAACCTGATTAAGAAACCTTGGGCCTTTATTAGGGTTCCTTATATGAGTCCTACTATTTTGGGGGGTTATAGGCCCAGGGTTTCTTAATCAGGTTCCTACATTCGCCATCAGGTTCGAGCCGAGGGGCTTGAACTTTAGCGGTTCGGGTTCAGGGCTCAGGGTTTACAGTTTAATTCAAGGTAACACTACCCCGCATTGGCGTAACCTATACAAGGTCCGAGCACTGCAGTAGTACGGCCGTAGACAGATGCTAGACCTTGAACGGCTGTTGGGTCCTTCAAGTTATGCCGGCTACACGGAATCGCTGCAACGCAAGCAGCTGCTTTGAGTTTCCAGCCTTCGATGGGATAAGATCCACTGTAGGACTGTCAGGAAGGCGCGGACCCAAAAGCCTTAACCCCACTTAGAGGCCCTTTTGACTTAGTAATTAAGTCTACTTAGTATCCCCTAGAAACCCCATTATAATCCCCATAACCCACCTTACTAACCCTACTTACTAAGTCAAAAGGGCCTCCAAGCACGTAAGCCCTGCCGCTGTTCGGATCTGGCGCAAATAGAGTTTCAGGCTCTCTCCCAAAGGGTCCTATGTACTGTTATGGGGAATACCTCCCATTATAGTAGCCTTATTATAGATCCCTTATAGGAACCCTTATGGACCCTTTAAAGGAACCCTAACGTAAGGCCCAAAGGATCCTATGTACTGTTATGGGGAATACCTCCCCAAATCATAATAGTAATTCCTAATATAGAAACTCTACAGTCTACTATATCCGTACTTTGGACCCTTTGTGTCTTAATTCTCGCTGAAACAGCGTGGAACTCGAGGGCCGCATTACTTAGGGGTACTTAGAAATATTTCTATTTTTTGTTATTATAATCCCTAAGAAACAGCTAAAATTATGATTTTGCTAGGGTTCTAAGTTCAGTATAGATTAGGTCACATTTTGAGAAGCCTAAACCCCAAGCCGTGTTCGCTGCACCCTGAAACCTGAGCCCCACGACCTGGACATGAGCCCTTAACGTCGCTAAGCAATACCCTAAGCCACTTCTGTGTGTGCGTTCTGGGGAGTTAGAAAGCCCGAGTTCTTCAAGTCAAGCTCGTGTTTCACCCCTCTTGTCCTACCCAAACATGCGAAGCCAGAGGAGTTGCTGAATGGCGTGTCCGAGCCCAAGCATTTTCCAGCCCCCAACCTAGAAGAGAAACTCAAACAGTTAGTAGTTATTCTTAGTAGCAGTATCTATATACTTGAATACGTGTATTTGTACTCAACCGTACCCTGTTCGACTCAATAAGACCCGAAGCCTCTGGCCCTGTCCGATTCCTGGACACCTGTCTAGGCTGTCTTTGCAACTTGGGGGCTATCGCTTTCCGACTGAGTGACCGAATCGCAGGGTCATACATGAGTATCGGGTACTGGGGTCCCTCAACCCCCGACCCTAGACCCCTAAAGCCCTAAAGCCCTAAACCTAAGCTGTGAACCCCAACCCCTAAGCGAACCGAACGCCTGGACATGCTTGTGCCACCCAACACCCCAGAACCCCAGCTGCCTACAGTGCAGTTTACAACTTTCAAGGCGACTGCTGTGTAGCAATAAAGTAGCAACCCATTTTACAGGGCTCTTTTTTAGAAGGCCCATACGAAGCCATCCAAAACACAAACCCGTAGGCACAGAGGTACCTTTGAAGGCCCTAAAGGCGCATTTACACGGGAGTTTCCGCAAATTAGGGGTACCTTATTTCAGGGTCCTTATAATAAGGAACCTACTATTTAGGGTACCATATTAGGGTCCCCTATTTTCGGAAACTCCCACACACAGCATCTGCGATTGGTTCTTACATCTCTGCACTGAAATGGGGCTTAAGGTAATTTACGGGAGAGTGCTGACCATGGGGTGTGCATGGTGACTTGGAGGATCATGGCTTAGTAAGTCGGGTTATAAATAAGGTAACTATACTTTATAAGTGCTTACAACCCCAATTGAGGCACTTACAACCCTAGTTACTAAGTCCCATGGTCCTCCAAGTAGTCACAGCATTCCCATGTTTGCTCGTCGCCACCAACTTACAGTCAGTATACCATGCCCCGAACCCATATTCCTATGAAGGCCCCCCGCATTAACCAAACGCCGCAGCCAAGGCACTCCGCCATCTATGGCGAGGATGCAGCTTTTGTGGTGCAGGAGCCGAAACCCCAAACACTAAAGCTTGATGTCCACTTTATTGAGACCACTACAGCTTAAGGCCGAAACCCCGGCATTGCTGTGGCAGCGGGGCGGGAAGAGCAATGCCAGGGCTTGGAGTTTCAAGCCTGCGCTGGATTCAGACATTCGGAAGAAGCCAAACGTCTAAACCCTCAAACCTTACGCCTTTCGCAGCACGCTCAACCCTGAACGCCGAACCATAAATCTTGAACCTAAATCCTAAACCTTGAATCTAATCCCTAAGTTTTACTCCTATGGCTGGCTTGTTTCGTTAGGGGCCACACTCCAAAAGTCGAGTAAACCTTCACAGCTCCCAAAGCCACGAGGCTTTCCAAGGCCCCTGAGCACTATGCCCCAAAACCCTATTCCGACTATGAAGGCCCCTTTATTACAGCGGTCTGACTGACTGCTTCTTGCTATTCCTTAGGGTTCCAGTTCTCAACCTGATAAGATATACAGCGCATCCAACAATTCTCATGGTGAAGGCACACATCGCTCAAAGCTGCAAGGAGTTCAGGCCTTCCCGATGGTAGAGTTAGTAGAGTACCTTAAAACCCTGAAGGACCTACCCTTTTAAGGACTTTTATAAGGAAATCATAATAAGGAACCCTGAAAAGGTAGGTTATTCAGGGTTAAGGTAAGCAACCTTCAACCTCTTTGTATCAACGAGATCTTCCCTTTTCAATTCCAGGCGTTGTCACCTTAAGTAAGAACTTCACGTTTGAATGTGTTCAGACAGTATCCTTGCACTGATGGTGGCACATGATCCTCCGAGTTGGAATGCTCGGTAGAGATCTCGGCACCGAAACCTTAAATTAGGGCCTTAAATAATTGCCTATACTTTGTGAGGGGTTCCTTATTATAACTAGAGTATAATGGCCCCAAAACCCTATTTCAATTGTGAAGGCCCCTACTGTAGAACTCTGTTTTCGATCCCTTTTAGAACCCTTTAAAGGACCCCTTAAAAAGGCACCCTATTCTAACTATAGTAATTATACTATAAGGCCCCTATATTAGACATCTTGAGGCTTTCGGAGCAGGGAAAGTTTTGTCGGAGCGACTGAACCCCAGAGGATGCCATGTCCGTGCAGTCTACGTGCCTGAACCGAAAGATAGGAGTTTTAAGGGTTTAGGGTTTAGGATTTAGGGTTTAGGGGGCCGATGCGAGGATTCAAACTGCTTTTGCAAATTCATGTTCAGACTTTCCGGTCTCGAGTTCGGAAGTTTTGTTGCGGACTTGGCACACACGTAGTTAAAGGATTCTCAAAGGGCCAGGAGCTTAAGCAGTTGCGGTGTTCGTTGTTTGAGGGCGTGGGGCCTTGTGCTGTGCTTATTAGGCATTGTATGGGAGTTTCCGAAATAGGGAACCCTAATATAGTACCCTAAATAGTAGGATCCTTATTATAAGGACTCCAAAATAAGGTACCCCTTATTTTCGGAAACTCCCGTATGGTCTTGGAGCTTCCCGGGATTGGGATTTGGGACTGGTTGGCCCTGAGTAGAGTTCAACGAGCTGCAAAATCTGGGCTTGATGTTTAGGCTTTCTGCCCTGAACCCCTGAATCCTAGCTTTTATACCAGGCATCCGAGATGCAAGGAAGGTGCAGTTCGAGGTCAACTTCATACCCCCCTTCGAACTAACCCTAAACCCTAAACCCAACCCTTTGACACAAGTTTCAGAAACCCGCCAAATCCCCCAGCTCCGGCTTCATGCAATAGAGGAGCCCAAACTCCGAACATCGCAATCCGCACACTCCTCACTTACACCCTAAAGCCCGCTAAGCCCAATTTCTCAATTTTCAAACCTCATGACCCTACACCCCTTAGCCCTAAACCCCATGACCTGGCGTGCTGAAAAGCAACGGAGCCCAAAGCCTTACTCTCGTCCTGAAAGTATGGCTCTGGCCTCCGGAGTACTACGCTTTTAATACTTTGTTTCTCGGACCTGTGCCTAAACAGAAATTTGGTACACTTCTCGATTTTGGCAAACAAAAAAAAGAAATTCGGAACGAACGTAATGGTAGCTTTTCCTCTCCCTAAACCCTAAATCCTAAACCCTGAACCCTAAACCCCAGCCATTTTGGCTCAAGAACCTTCGCGGGTCCGCCTTCTGCTGTGGCGTTTCACGCAATTGCTTTAGGCTGTTCCGCTCGGCTTCTTGCCTTGCCATCGTGACATGGAAACCGCAAGTGCGCCGCTCCTGAGCGAGTTGGATGGAGAAAACACAGACCGACGTTGCCAATGGGGCTCCGAGCAGAGCATTGGCATGCTGAAGGGTGTTGCAGGGTTGGTCATGGCGATTGCTCTCAGCCATCTGCTGTTTTGCATACCTGACGGTCCTGCGCCTTGCTTGGGTCTTGTCTTGCCTGGATATGATCCAGACTCCTTGCACACTCATGGAGCTTTCTTCACAATGACAGGTGGCACTCATCAAATAAACAATGTTGCCTTTGCTGCTATGCGCGGGAGTGAGCCAAGCTATGCAGCCACGGGCCGCGCTAATCTGCGGGTGGAGCCTGCAGGCAGTAAGTCGCGGGATCCCGATGAAACGGGGAACAAGTCTCTTGACGTGCCCATCGACGTGTCAGTGCGTGCGAAATCAAGGGCGATGGCATTGCCGGCGATGCATCATGAGCCTACACGCGGGTTCCGAAGTGCCGTGGCGATTGAGGACTTTTCGGCTGAGGGCTCTGCAGGCCATCATGGTCTCGCTAACAAATCCGCTGACGATGGTTCCAGTTCTAGCTCCTCGAGCACATCATCCACGACCACCACCACGACCCTAAGCATTGATTGGAGTGTTGTGGGATCTGGCACGGAGGAAGGCGCTGCAAGCTTGGAGCATGATTCGCATGGCGCGCCAAAGCCATGGCAAGCCGGAACCCAGCATGCGCGCGATCAAGCAAAGCACGAATCGAGCGTGTACCCGCCAGGCTTGGACACAGGGCACTGGGAGGCTGATTGGCCCTGTGTTGCTTTTGCAACGGGGTTCAACACAAAGCCTCCCGCAGAGTGTGCTGTTTACAGCACCTCAAAGAGCAGCGCATTGCCGACGCTCAGCTCAATCTCCCCGATACCATGCATGCCAAATGACCACTGGCCAGCATTCTCGACGTTGTGTGGACATTTGGGGCCGGCCTACTTGGTAACGGGTTTCAGTAGCAGCGCCTTGGTGAACAAGCGTTGCTGCAATAAGGACTTCTACTTCCACAAACACCGCAAGGGCGGCGGTGAGTGGAGTTGCGAGGAATGCATGAGTGATGTTGGCAACTGTCCAACTCTGACTTGGTTGTACTGCGCTGGTATAGACCAGCGCCTCACAGCCAAACAGTTCCTCATCACTGCTGAGGACGTGCTGATTTTCGCGCTCTACGCGATGCTGCTTGGGGCCATCTCAAGCCAGCAGGTTTCGCATCATCCCGAGTTGGGCTGCTATCGCTTAATGGTGGAAGTGCTTGAGTGGGGAAGATACTTACTGGTGTTGATTGCTACGACAGGCGTATTGGTGTGGTCAATGCAGGGCCTGGTGCAGGGGTATGCCGCTGTGAAGTACGACTGCAGCGCATCACGCCAGGTGATGGGGGTATTCACGCCTGTCTTCACAGCGGTGAGCCTTGCAATCCTGCTGCTTGGATGTGGTTACCTTGGCACCTACTGGTGCACCAACGCGGTAGAGGCAGCATCGTTGCAAATCGACTCAGCAATGTCTTACCGGCGGGCTCAGCGTGTTGCCTTCAGTTTGACGACGACGACTGTGCTATCAGTGCTCGTCTACGCAGTGAGCGCGGCATGGAGTAATGCCGCGCCTTGTGACGCAGCTTGGTGAGCCTGTGCTCAGGCTTAATTAGGTGCATGTAATTAAACCAAACTGCATGTTTTTCGCCATAGCGGCGGTAGTTTTGTTGTTCATATCAAGAGCCTGCAGCAGTTGGGGGTGGAGCCCCTGATCTGGGATACAGTGGCTCTTGCAGCGGGAGTCCTTGTGGCCCTGATCCTGCTCTCCCTGCTGATGAAGCTACGGACGATCGTGGTGACCATGCATGTGGTGCAAGAACAGCTGCATGATCTGTCGGTGCATGTGCATGCGCAGGAAGACCGCCTTAGTGCCCTTCTGAACTTGCGAATGCAGGCCCAGACAGACCACTTGCAGGAGGTACTTGGCCACTCTGGCAGTGCCGGCACCACCACGATGCATGCTGTGCATGGAGAGGTGTATTCGCTGATTGAAGAATTCGTCGCGAATTCAAAATCGGTGTACCACCTTTTCGACTTGCATGCCTACCAAAATCGTCAGTGGCATGATATGATGACACAAATGGAGGATCTACTGCGGGCCCACACAGAACTGAAAGAACTGGGGTCGCTGATGGAGGAATTCATTGTGAATTCAAAGTCGGTGTACCACCTGTTCGATCTGCATGCCTACCAAGATCGCCAGTGGCATGATATGATGGGACAGCTGGAGGACTTGATGCGGGCCCACACAGAGCTGAGCAAGGCGGTCAACACCCTGCTCACGGACGTTTCGGCACGGATGCCGAAAAGCACCACTGCGGCTGCCATCACGGCACAGATCTCTGGTGTGGACGACCGGCTCCAGGCCTTGAGTGACCGCCTGTCAGAGCAATGGAGCACCCAGTTGCCCAAACAGATCAACGAGCTCATCGACCAAGTGGAAGCGGGTATGAGTGGCTTGAATCGTCGGCTTGCCGATGCCCCGAGCTCCTCTGCTGGAAAGGGTAGACAAGGGCGACTCAGGACGCCTCCAGGAGATGCGAGACAAGACGCGTGAGGTGCTGGCTCGTGTTGAACTGTTCGACAAGAACCTGGAGAAGACACACAGCATGCTACAGGCCATCGCGAAGGTCATCGAAACCATAGACCCTCCGAAGGCTCTTCTGGAAATCTCCAAGCCGATGATGGAGAAGCAGGAGCAGCTTTTGCGGAGTAAGCTGCAGAGTGTGGGGGAGGACGTGAATCTCCTCAAAGGGCAGGCTCATGCCCACCAAGGGGAGAACAACAGGCTGATCAAGAACCTGGAGAAGAGCTTGGCGCAGATGCAGTCGGTGGTGGATGGTTTGGCGGTCAACATGGCGCAGGTGGGGGCGGCCTTTGGCAAGCCGCCGGTGGACAGCCAAGGCCAGACGAGGGCCCTGGACCTGCTCTTGAAGCTGGGTGAAAGCCTGGCAGAAAGCGTGGGAGTCAACCAGGAGAGCAGGGAGCTGTCGCATGAGGCCCTCTCACGTTCACAGGAGATGAATGGTGTTCTCGTGGAGCTTCGAGACCTTCTGGCGACACAGCGCCCACAATATGCTACGTCCTCCCACGGTGCAAGTATGCATAGCCAGCCGAGCCGCTCTAGCCCGACAGTGATTGACCTGCAAAGCAGGTTGCCACCCCGCGCCAGTACGGGGTTTGCCACGATTTCCTACCCGGATGGCAGCATCAAGATGATCTCCACGGATAATCTGCCCTAGTCTTGAGTATTCTTAGGTGTGTAACAGCCCTTTGGGATCACCTTGATCTGCCACCGCGTGGAGCAGTACTGCATGTAGTGTCATCGGTCCTTTTGTTTGTAAGGTTCATGTGATTTGGGTTTGTTGGATCCCCTCTGGCCCTTTGACACACAAGCAGCTGACTCTCTGTTTTTGCATGGTACAGCAGACCTGTATTCATACTGCACAGTTGCATGCATGTTGCACTTGTAGAATGTGAGAACTTGTGAATTCACCCCTGTATTGGTATGCATACATCGCCAAGTGCTCTGCATGCCTCGCCACACTCGGTCCTCATCTGTTTATCGTGTTCCGGTATAGACAGTCTGTTTGCCACATACTGAGCATGGCGACTTCCTTGTATTCATCTGCACCCTTTTGCATCATGCCGCAGTGCACACACCTGAATTTATGATCAAGCATGATGGAATTCATCACGTGCTAGCACCACGAACCCTGCTCGATGGTTGCTGTTTGCGATCAGAGTGGGCAAACTGGCTTGACCTATCAGATGATCAGGCCTTGTGCATGTACCTGCATGTGACTGGCTGGGGCTCGCATAAAGAACCATCCTTGCCTGACTGTTATTTAGTCTGCGCTGCTGTTGTATCTGCCCAAGTGACAATTGCCCCTACAGCCAGCGTGTGCTGTACAAGTACACCAACGACCAAGGTAGCAGTGGCAGCAAAACGAAGCAAGGGTCCGGCGAGTTGAGGGTAAATAAACCTTGGCCCTAACCCCACCTGTTCCCCTCTCCCTCACAATCATTCCTGCTTTCATCAGGATCACTTGATGCCGTGTCGTAACATGCCCATGAACACAACCATGCCTGCATTCATCAGGTTCATTTCACCAGTTGGCAGGATGTTTGACTCAGCTCGTCTCTTCGCTGTCATTACTATTCCTGCCCCCATTAGGATCATTTGATACCGTACCGTAAAATGCCCCTGAGGTTGTATGTTGGCCATGCCTTGTTGCGACAGACAGAGAGAGACGGAGGGAATCAGCTCAGCATGTGCGTGAGTACACGCCCCGCGAGGATGGGTGATGCATGCGTTGATGCAATGCTGCGAAGCTGCTGTCGCTGCATGTCCGTTGAAGCTGCCTCATCGTTGCGAGTAGGGATCCGATAAGTAAGGGGGCATTTTGGACTTGTGAGTCCTCCCATCACAAATCTCCTTCGTTCGCTTGTCAGTTAAAGTAAACCCCCTGTTCCTGCCTAGCCATGGCAAACCGGCGGGGAGCTCGCTCGCGCAGCCCTCGTCACTTCCAGGATCTCCCGGATCCTATGGGCGAACCGGATGCCATTCGTCTGAGGGAACAGGGAGTGCCGCTGATCCTGATCAGGCAGACTGGGCAGGCCATCTGGGCTTTGCGAGAGCAAAGGCCGGAGGATGCGAACTGGAGCCTGGCGGTGTTGCGACAGGTGGTGCGGGACACCAAGGAAAGCATGGAGGCCCTGGAAACGTTTCTGACCACGCGTATCGGACCAATTGCCAGAGTCCCTCCTGAGAACGACCGTCGGGAGTTGCTGCACCTGCTGAGCGATGTGTCTCGTTCCATCCCGAAGGCGGCGGTTCAATGTGCGCAGAGTAGACTTGAGAATACGTGGCTGGAGCCGCACACGTTGCCACCCGATGCACAGCCCGAGAGGAGATGACCCCATACAGCAACAGGGGCTGTCGGGGTGACCTCCACAACAATCCAGGTCTGCCTGTCACATCCTGTTGCCATGGATGGTCACCTTCAAGAATGAAGAGGGCGATGCTTGTGCATCCACTGCATGGCGAGCACTACGAATACGATGACGCTGACGTGTTGTGGTCGAACTACACCACACCTGTGCATATGTCACATCGGCGCATGTGTATCTGTTGCCTAATGGGCTCCACGGGCACGACGATGGCTATACTGCATGTGAATTTGTATGCATGACTGAGTACCGGCATGATGGGTCCCTGGCTGCATGATGGGCTCAATGAGCATGACGATGGCTATACTGCATGAGCATTGGTTGCATCGGTGAGTTGCTGCATGGGAATTTGGGTTGCGTGGAGGAGTACCGGCATAGGCACCACGAGCACGACGGTGACAGTCCTGCATATGAATCTGGCTGCATGGTGAGTACTAGCGACCGTGAACGTTTGGTGTGAAGATTCATGCGCTGGAAGCTGGCTGTTTTTGCGTCTGCATGTGCATGATATATATATATATATATATATGCTGGCATGGTCCCACTGGGAATACGAGATGAGGGGATACCTGCAAGATCTATGCACTGTGCATGTCCGAGATGTCTGAGCAGGGCTACACGCGGCTACACCTTGTAAAGAGTGGTGCGGTAGTCGTCTTTTGAAACAGTGATGTGTCCAAATGTGGACCATCGATCCATGCCTGCCTGCCTAGCTCGTACGCTGTCTGGTCTGATAGTCTTGTGTGATAGGGCTCTGTTCGTATGATTTGGTTTACTGATACGGTGCTGGGCTTCTGCAGTGCATGCTCTTTTGAGTGGAGATACTGTGGACTATGTGGAGCCTTGCCTGCCGCGTGCGAGTGTGAGCGTCGAAACCCCTAAACCCTAAACCCCAAACCCTAAACCCTAAACCCTGGTTACTTCAAGGCCCAGGACCAGACCAAGGCCCCTGAGCCAGAAATAGAGCACAATATGAGCGCCCTGATCACGCAAACTTAGGGGTACTGCGCCCTAAGGCTCCAAAGTAGTTCCTTTTTGGGGTTCATCTATAGAATACTAGATATGAATCCCAAAAAGGAACTACTTTGGGGCCTTAGGGTACTTAGAAATATCTATTTGGTTATTGTAATCCCTAAGAAACAGCTAAAACTACAGTTTTTGCTAGGGTTCTAAGTTCAGTAGAGCAAAAACACCTCACCATAGGAGCAAGTCAAGAAGCCCGTAAATCACGATGAGGAGCCCCTGAAAAGGTAAGTTCTACTCCACACCCTATACCTTAAACCCTAAACCCCATACCCTGAACCCTACACCCCTAAACTCTCAACTTTAGTTTAGGGTTTAGGGTTTAGGGACTCTAAACCGTGAGACCCTTCATTCAGGAAGCAGGTCATCACCACCGCCATGAAGCTGGCGGACCAAGCCTGGAGGGAGGCGGTCCAGCCTCTCGGCCTCAAACAAAACTAGGTGGCAATTTGGGAAACTTGTTAATTTCCCTTTGGTTCCTATAGAGGTACCTATTCATAAATACTTTTCAGAGCCCCAAAACTACAACCCAGAAAAAGGCTATAAAGGTGTACCCTTAAAGGGATCCTTTATAAGGGTGACTTAGTTACTTGAAGGGCTCCTTTTCAGGATCCCTGTAAACAGTACTATGGGGTTCTAGAATAGGTGGCACTACAGGGTTCTTCTGTATAGGGTCCCCTTCTAAGGGGTACTATAATGTTCTATACTGGTGTCCGGTGTCCCCTTCTTAGGGTCCCTATTTAAGGGGTATTGTAGGATTCTATGATGGGGTCCCCCTACTAAACGTCTCCTTTGAGGGTATTTTAAGAAATCTGTAATCCTATAATTGTTGGGTTTAGGTTTAGGGGTCTTTCTTTACCGCACATGGTCCTTCTTTGGTGTCCTGGGTTCCAAGAGGAAGCCCTTTTATTCGTAGGATGCCGGGTTCCTGGCGAGGCCGACAGTGGGGCCATTAGGGTTGAACCCAAAAGGTAAAAGGTTGAGTCCTGAAGAAAGGGCTTGTGGGTCCTTTCGGGTTTAAGGTCAGCTCATTTATTAATGCTTGTTGGTGGTTTAGGATCTCAAAAGATTGAACGCAGCAATATCATGGGCTTCCTAGGTGTTTTGACGTATTTCATAAGGGTGTTCTAGGCTGCTAGGGTTTATGGCTTGTATTTTGCGATAGTAAGGGGTTCAGGTTGTGCGGGGCCTGGCCTAAGGAATTGGTACGTATCTAAGTGCCAGCAGGTTGTCAGCATCAGTTGGCAAGGCTGAGGCATGTTGTTGAGATTCGAAGGAACCCGTGTAAGCCAAGCCTGTAACCATTACGGCAGCCTAAATGATTAAGGTTTGTGGTGTACAAGAATACTACTCCTTTTCGGGACTGGTGCATGTTGGTATTTGTTCAGGCTCCCAAATAAAGGGTGCCTGAGTTTGCCTGGCCAGGTTCGCAGCAGAGACGCTGGACGGCCCACTCTTCGTTGGTTGCGAGGACGTGATTTGGGAGTTGCAGAAGGCAATAAGGGAACCCTGCGAAGTTACCCTTAGCAATAGGATCGCCATTCTACGAACCTTCTAACAAGGTAACCCAGCTTTTCTGAAACTCCCGTTTCGCGGGGAGTCAGGCCTCAATTACGGACAATGACAATTTGACAATCGGATTGTAAACCAAGCCATACTCCCAAAACTTTAAACCCCTAAACCAAAGAGGATCCTCCGATACAGTTGAAAGGATACAGAGAATATTAGCATTTTACCCTATGCGTCATCGCACAAATCGAGAAGTGTACGAGTCGAAACCCCGGAACCCGTAAAGGTTGAGCTTGTGCCCTAAACCCGATACTCTTGTTGAACCGAACAACCCCTGCCAGAGTGCAAACCTTTGCTTTTCACACTCGAAACCTTTTTGTTTGTGAAAGTTGGGTAGTATAGGGGCCTGAATAATTTTAACAAGGCTTCTTCGACGTGTTCCTTGAGGTTGATTCTGGAATCAAAGCAATTCGCATCCGTCAAACGGGCCAGTGATTCATTGCAACATCTAGAGCCCTTGAGTCTACATCGCTGCAGATCGCCACTGTCAAACCTGAAAGCCAAGAAGGCAGAAACCCCTCGGTGTTAGGGTCTACTTAAAGGATCATGGGACTTAGTAAGTGGGGTTATAAATAAGGTAAGTATACTTATAAGTACTTAGAACCCCAATTAAGGCACTTATACCCCTACTTACTAAGTCCCATGATCCGTCCTTGCTAGGTAGGAGGGAAAAAAGTCCTATAGATCCCTTTAAGGA